ATATACAGTGAGTTCAAGGCCATAGTGAGACCCAGTCATTAAAAAAAAAAAAAAAAAGCAGTATTTATTTTTTAAGATGTACACTAAAATATTTGCAGGTAAAGTTAAGCTAGAAATGCTAAGATAATGAGAGGGAAGAACAGATAAAACATGACCGATTACATAGGCTAGCTAATGAATGAATAGATGGCATCTTATTCTACTGTCCCTTATGCATATTCAAATTGAAATGTTTTGGGTAATTTGGGGCAGAGGTGGTTGTTGTGGCGGTGAGAGACAGGGTCTTGCTATGTAGTCCAGGTTGGCTTGAAATCACTACATGTTGCAGGAGACCACAATATTGATTATGCCTAAAGCAGGCTGTAAGCAGTGCAGGGTTATAAACAATTAACCTGTCAATTGGCTTGTTTTGAGTAGTGAGAAGCCTATGTGGCAAGGTCAGAGTAACTTGCACTTAAACTCCTTTCCTACAACTAAAACCTTAACTAGAAGGACAAGAATTATAACCATATACTTTGTCTATTCTGTTCCTAAAAGCTTTGCCTGCATTCGTTTCCACAGAAACTACATGACTACACATCCTCACACATGGCTTGCCTTTACCCCAATTAGTGGCTTAAGACTGACCAGTGCCTTTGCTTGATGAGCAGCATTGGCTATCCTGTCTCCTCGGTTTGTCTCTTTAGTTCTGTCTTTTGGGGATTTTTCTCAGCCTTGTGCAGTAGCACTCAGCAGATCAGAACCTACTGCACAGGTCTCTGACAATATGTATAGGGGGCTGGCCTTGAACTCACACTGACCCTCCTGTCTCAGGCACCACTGGGATTATAAGAATGCACCACCATGCCTGGCTATGTTTCTTAACGTGAAGTTGAAACTTTTAAAATACATCAACGATTATTCCCTTTAATATGAATCAGTTTAAAACACTATTGTCAAGCATAAAATGAACCGTAAGTATACTAGAAATGTTAATTTTTAAGGGAAAAAGGTAGTGGGCTGTCCATGATACCCTTCATTTTAAAATTAGTGTCACTAAAATAATCAGGTAGTCATAATGTATGCCAGCATTAACAGCTAAAAAGTACATAAATGACTAATTTTCAGTGTCTAGAAAGAAATTGGAGATTTTGGTAATAAAAATGAATTCTCACGCTCAACAAAAAACTATTTATATTTAGATATATAAGGAATATCTTTTTTTTTTAAGTATTAGCAGCCCTATGAATCTGCATTATTAGTACAAGAACTAGAAAACCCAGACTACATTACTTAAGGGCTTTACCAGTTGGTCTGCTAATTGATAAGGTCTGGATTCTCAATCTTTCTTTACTCCACTCTGCAGAGCTACTATATCTACCATATAAAAATACATGCAAGTATTAAATACATGCAGTATAAAAATACATGCCTGGCAAGTGAGAGCCTGGAACCAAAAGAAAAGAACAGAACATTAAGATACAAAAACTGTGATTGATAACGAGGAAATAAGACTTATATAGAAATTATAAACGTATAGTCTAAAACATTCATGAGAATTTCATGGTCTGATTTAACTCTCATTATCCCAGGTTCTAGACTTTAAAAAAAAAATCTGTACTTTCTTTTAGCTGAGGATGTAGCTCAGCGGCACAGTGCCTACCAGGCAAGTGCAAGGCCCTTAGTTGGATTCCCAATACCAAAAAAAACCACCCGTACCTTAAGAAGATATCAATCAACTTTAAGGTTTTCAACTCTGTGTCAAGCCTACCCTCTGCTAAGCCCCAGATCTGCTATATTCCAAGCACTATTTTCAACTTCATACATATGTGTCTTAAAACATATTAAGTGAAATCCCCAAGTAAACTTGAAGTATTTCCGACGTGTCATCATCTCCTAAAATTCTTAAATAAGTTCATTTCCTCATCACCAATTATAATTTCAATTTCAATTGGTTCTTTTTGGTTCTTTAGTAGCTACTACCTAGGTACTCCCCTTTAGTCATCAGAAATCTTTTTCTGTTGCCTAAGGTTAGAACAGAAGACAAGGTATTAATATATGAAGTAATAAGTCAGGTAATATATGAAGTAATAAATCAGGTAATAACTAAGTACGTTTGAAAAACTGAGTAAGGCCAATGTTTAAATTTAAACAGCAATAGAAGAAAATTGAAAATATTTCTGCCAATCTCACCATACTGATATTTTTTTAATATCTTTTAAATAAATGATCTCTTTTCAAATCTCTCCTTTAGAATGTTTTTCTAACTTATTTACTGAAATATTTTATATACTACACAAGACTAAATAATTTTTGTTTTGTTTTTGATACTGGGGATCGAATTTGGGACCTTGTGCTTGCAAGGCAGGCAATGGAAGACTAAATAATTTTTAATGAGAACTGTTCTCATTAAGGAAAACACTAAACTGCTAAATATTTTGGTATACTTACAATTTAACACATGAGGTTTATAGAATCCATGCTACTCCATAAGTCATATCAGAAAATATCAGAATTCTTCTAAAAGGAGTCATGACACAGTACCATTTTCTCATGGTTTGTGCCAGTGGGTGAAAGGAAGTTATGTGCTAGGGGAAGTGGTTAAAAAAACAACAACAACAAAAAACACCCCAGCTGTATCCCATAGCCTACCCAAGACTAGCTGTAAAAAAAAACCCCTCACAGGTATAGTTGATCATAATTCAATTTTTTACAGTACTGCAGGATGAACCCAGGCCCTGCACATGCTAGGCAAGTGCCCTCTCACTGAGCTACATCCTCAGCCTTGTTCATGAGGCTTTAACATGTGATTTAACGTGATTCAACATGTGATTCGAGTGTGCAGAAAAGGAAGCTGCTTCTGACCTACTGCCTTCAAGTCACTTAATAAATGACCAAATTTTTCAGTAGCAAAGAAATGCCAGATCTAATTACAAGGTCCCCAAAGTACAAAAATCACTAGTGTTTTCAAGCCATGACTGGGGTTTCATACCTGTATTCTCAGCACTCAGGAGTCTAAGGCAAGAAAATCATACAATTGAGGCCAACCTTGGCTACACAGGTTGGCCTCAGTTCACAGTTCAAGGCCAGTCTTAACTAGAAAGCCAGACCCTGTTTCATAAACCAAAAACACTAGGCTTCAAAATAAATACTGGAATACAACCTAACATTTTTGGTTATGCATTCAGGAGATTGAAAGAAAATCGTAACGTTGCATTCAAGATCCTTTATGTAGATTTTTGAATCTACTTTTCCAGCCTTGTTCTTCTGACCTTTTAATGTTTATCTCCCATCACTTACTGTAGCATTTTTCAAATACATTTGCTCATACTGTTTACTGAATTGACTCCTTTAGCCAAAGGCTTTAATATGATTGATGAACTCAGTTCAAATGTTTCTCTTTAAAACATTCTCTATTTAAGCAAACTATTACCCGTCCCATAAGAGGAAAAAGCGAGCCTGGTGTGGTGGCACAAACAGCATCCCAGCAATCGGGAGGCTGTGGCAGGAGGGTCATTATAAGTTTGAGGCAAGCCAGGGGTATATGATGAATTCAAGGTCACTCTAAACTATATAGCATGACCCTATATAAAGCAAAAAACCACAAACACTTGTGAAAACACACACAAAGCAGAGACTGATGTACCAAAACTGTTTGACACATTAATAACATAAACATAGTCATGTTTGAATGAACTGTGTTGGCACACACCTATAATCCTGAACAGGCAGGATTCCAACTTTGAGGTGAGACTGGGCAGTTACTTAGTGAGACCATGTCTCAAATATAAATGGCTGGGAAGGGCTGGAGATGTAGCTCAGTGGGTCTGCTGTCTGCCTTGCAAGCGTAAGGTCCCAAGTTCAATCCCCAGTACCAGAAACGAATGAATGAATGGGAACGTAGTTCAGTGTTAGAATGCTGGCTCTGGGTTCAATTATCTGTTGGGGGGGGGGGGGGGGGGCGGGGCAGCTAACAGACCTTCAACTATTGCATTGTATGCGATACTGTTATTCTAAGATGAAAAAAAGTAGTAGTCCTTCATATATATAAAAAGCAGAAGTATAGCTGGGTAAAGGCACACGCCTGTAATCCTAGCACTTGAGGCTGAGGCAGGAGGGTTCCTGCAAGTTCAAGGCCAGCCTTACACAGCAACAGTCTCAAAAAAGGCAGGTGTGTTCCATATAATGCATAATTTATAAAACACATCACACACACACACGTGCACACACACCTGCACACACACACAGTATCAAAGCATTAGCAATGTATTTCCTCATACCATATTTAAAAAGGGCTAAACCAAATAGAACTCCCTTTTATTAAAAATATTATCAATGTCAATACATTTTCAGCATATCACTCCACTAATTGCTACAACAGCTGTAAATCCATTATTGAAAGTTACTCATCATCTGCATCTATTCTATACATCTTTCAGTTTTACGTCTTCTGACTTCAATACTAATGCTGGTCTGAAGACCTAAGAAATTATAATTATTCTAATATTCTTGATTTTTAGAACGGAAAAGTCCACCAAACTACAATATAAATCTTAACACTATCTCCTAAAGCGGGCCGGGGATTTAGCTCAGTGGTTCTGGCGCCTGTTTTTGCAAGCCCAAAGTCCCAAGTTCGAGCGCCGATACCAAAAAAAAAAGAATTGTGTATCTCACTACCTCCTAAGGCAACTTTTACATTATATACTGCCCACTGCATTATTATCTTTTTATTCATTGGTTTGTTCAAAGGAGACATAATTTTTAAGATCAGGGATCACTTTTAAAATTTTACTGTGATCCCATCAATAATTTTTGTTTGAAATCCATTTTTTTAAAAGTCACTCTACCTAGTCTACGTGGCAATGAGGGTGAGGGGTGTTGTTTCATTTTGGAGAAAAGGGAACATCTCTTTTAAACTATGTTAGCTAATCATTACTTCAAAAGAGAAAGTTCACTATTACAAAATAAACAAATTTACTAGTTTTTACCAGAATAGACAAAAGGAAATACCTTCAACATACCTGTCATAATAATCACGTTGAAAGTCATAGTCCAAGTCAAAAGAGGAGCTGAAAAAGAAATATCAAAGATGATTAATTTGGAGATGCTGATGTCAATTCACAACAGTGAGGGGGGGGAACATGCCAAACAAACAACAGTATCAGTAAGATTTACATGGAATAAATCCAAATAATTCAAGTAAATAACATTCCAATCACCCCAGAGCACTAATTATAATACAATAGTCATTTAACTGAGGTGAAAGTTCACTAAATCCAACACATAACATATAGCAAAACCAAAAGACTGGAAAATCTAACAGTAAATTAAACTTATACCATTCTACTTCCCTTTCTTATCCCCAGCTTCTAAAAAGCTAAACATCTTTTAAAGGATTTAAATTTATGCTATAAATACCAAATTACTTTTTATTAACAAAAATCTCAGGGATCTTTAATCCTATTTTAGGAAATGGGCAAAAAAAGGTACATTAACACAATTTAAAAAGCATTACTAGGGCCGGGGATTTAGCTCAGTGGCACTGCACCTGCCTTGCAAGCGCAAGGTCCTGAGTTCGATCCCCAGTACCCCCAAAAAAGCATTACTTTTTCGCAGATAATACACATTACATTAAACCCTCCCCACATCCAGAAAACAGATAGAGAAGATGCCCACTGATGGACACAATGCAGTTATAAATAATAAAGTTCCGGACCTGAGTAGAGGGGACGGAGAAGGGTGTTCTGGTACTGACCCGTACATCTCCGCTGCAGATCGTTTCACACCTGCTTTTCCTCTGTTCACTTTTGGCTCTGCAGCCAGATTAATATCTGAAAAACAAAAGCAAACAAAAATAAAAAATTTAACTCTAGGGATTAAAAATTTGAACTACAGTGACATAAATCATGATTTATATTTCCACCTCATACAAAATGATCACAAAAATCCTACAAGGTTAGGTTTAACTTTTCATTTCTACGTGCTGTGCTATAAGAGAATCAGTCCCCAGACACGTCATAGAACTCTCCAACCTCAGAGCTCAGATTTAAGCAGCTCTCATCAAGCAGAGCAGTGAATATCTGCTCACTCATCACTACTCCTATCAGTGATTAACAATGACTACGGCACGGGCAGTGGTTCTATAGACTTTAAAACAACACAAACATATCACAATGTCTGAGTAATTTCAGATGTAAAGATACTCATTCCCTATCCTCAAGAGTTCACGGTCTTTTCCTTCTTTAAAAAGTTCACTTAGGAAAAACCAAGGAGCCCTAACTCAGCTCTCTAAAATTCAGTTCATCAAATCATCAACTGAGAAACAGGATTATACTGTTTGCTGATCAGCACTAGATGAGTATCTTTTGTAAGTTCTTTCTATTGTTGAATGTTATCTAAAATTTATTACAATTTTGCTTTCAGAAGTTTTGACTTTGGACCCATGCAAACTCCTATAAAACTAGACAATTTTTAAAAAACAATCTGTGATGTAAAAATAAAATGAAAACTCAAACTATATCACAGCTGAGTTCATAACTATCAAATTGTTTTTATGGTGTCCTAAACTACTATACTGGAGCCATCTAACCAACTCAGAAGGCTGAGGCAGGAGGATCACAAACTTGAGGTATGTCTGGGCAATTCAGGAAGCCCTTGTCTCACATGAAAATGGCTAGGAATGTGGTGATAGTGAGTGCTCCTGGGTTAAAGAACACAAGATACTATTCATTGTTAGGTATGACAATGGCATGGTTTGCCTTCTGTTAGAAGAATGCCTGCACGGCCAGACATCATGGTGTAAAGCCAATTATCCCAGCTACTAGAGCTTCAGGCAAAAAAAACTGGATGTGGAAGCTCATGGCTGTAATCCCAGCACTCAGAAGACTGAGGCAAGAGAATTCCTGGGAGTTCAAGGCCTACCTGGGCTACATAGTGCAAATTCAGAAGACTGAGAGTATCCAACTTCAAAACACTATGCACCGCTAGTAATCAATAAAATAAGCTAATTAGCTTTCCATTGCTGTAACTACATAATGAATTCAAGGCCTGCCTATCTCAAAAAAAGAAAGAAAAAAAGACCATATGTGCTATACAGAAGTTTTAAAAATAATTTTATAGACCTCAGTATGTAAAACTGTGTGGAATGTTGATACATTAAAAATGAGGTGAAGGAGGGAGGGAGGGGTAGAAGAGAGGGCAGGGGAAGGGGGAAAAAATAAGAACCAAGAGAGACTATTTAAAGGTGCAAATTTCCAATGATGAATGTCATTATATTGTATACCTAAAATGTACCAATAAAAGGATATACAGTTAAAAAAAAAAAAAAAATGAGGTGAAAGACCAGGGATTTGGTCAGTGGTTCCAGGGCCTGCCTCACAAGCACAAGGACCCAAGTTTAATCCCTGTTACCAAAAAAAAAAATTCCATCAACAGTTAAAAGTACATAATAAATCACATAACATGTTCATTTTAAGACCTTTTCTAACACTTGTTTTAGTTCATTTTAGCAAGAAAAGCATTTCAGATAAAAGTTTCATGCAGTGTGGGTTTTCCTGTATGATGAATGTAGGAGAAATGGGTAAGAAAAGTTCTTGGGTATTTTCAATTGCGACTGCTCTGTATCTTTTTTATGTTGGACTTGTACTAGAACATTTTTCTCAGATGCTTTCAATTATTCTGACAATCTTGAAGTACTATCCCTTCAGATAAGGATAGATACTAAGTACTCTAAGGTACTACTAGTCTTATTTTTTTCTTTTTTGTTTTTTGGTACCGGAGATCGAACTCAGGACCTTGTGCTTACGAGCAGGCAGTTGGAACCACTGAGCTAAATCCCTGGCATATTTTTCATTTTAACAAAGGAAATTTAAGACACACGTGGACACCAAACCCTAAGGCAGATCCAGGCAGTGTATGTAACTCAAGAAGCTCATGTGGCTACGCTATACTAACCAAGACATAGCCACATTGGTAATTATTTCTGCATTATGAAATATCATCACACATCCTATTTTACCCAAGGTTGTGGAGCCTCTACCTCACAATGGCATGATAAAGGGTATCCACACAGCAGGGAATGTAGCCAAGTGATGGAATGCTTGTTCAGCATGCTCAAGTTCCTGGGTTCAATACCCAGTACTGAGGGAAAAAAAATACATCCTTTACTCATTATGCTTATAAGCCTAAAACTTTTCATGTTAAAATTGTAATCACAGTTATCTCAGAATATCTCAGACTGTTGACTTTAAGGAGAGGGAGTAAGCCTGGCAGTAATGGTGCATGCCTACAATCCTACTTGGGGGGCTGAGGCAGGAGGATCCCTGCAAGTTTGGGGCCAGCCTGAACTACATACTGAGAGACTCTGTCTCAAAAAAAGGAAAAAATAAAGGGGGATGGGGGTGGGGGTGGAGAAACATGAACAGAAAAACTCAGCATTAATTATATCAATAAAAAAAATTCTTTCAACCTAGACCTTACCTAAAACCTGGCCAGCAATCATTCTGCCATCCTCTCCTGCTACAGCAGCCCGGGCGTTTCTCTCGTTAACATACTGGACAAAGGCAAAGCCCTTATGAACAGAGCAACCCACAATTTTGCCATACTTCGAGAAGATCGCCTCCACATCGGATTTCTTTACCACAAGAGTGTTGAGATTTCCAATGAACACACGGGAGTTCATGGAGCGAGGATCTGTCTTGTTGGTAACATTGCTAGCCATCGCGTTCGATGATAAGGTTGCTGACAAAGACAAAAACCTGGGGTAGAAAAAAACATTCAGGTAAATAGATGCTAAAAAAATAATATTCCTTAATATAACTGTATTTTCATTTTGAATTAATGTGACTACCCAGTCAACTTAAAAAGGAATATTATAACAGCAAGTATATTACTATTGAGATTAGTGCTCTTAACATATCCTTTAAAAACTTCAACTTCCTCTACACTCAATTCTACTCCAGAAGCACTAAATTATCATTCCTCAAGAGACCTCTTCTTCCAGACTACTGGCAATGACTCCTACTGGACATTTTTAATTCCAAATGGATTAATTCCTTTCTGTAATACAAATGAAGCAAATGAAAATCCCCTAAGATCTTTACTACCAATTTCAGCTATTTTTCACTTTCCCTGTTAAGAATTCCTTGCCCTTAATAATTCCACCTTTATACTGCTTTTATTAAAATAAGTCTCACTCATTGGCCACCAATTAGACATAACTTCAAATTTTACTACACAACATACTTAAGCAAGATCAATGTGAATAATTTATATTTACTCTTCAAATATAGTTGACTGTTGTTTCCCTCATGTTCCTGGAAATCAAACCCAGGGACTCACACTGAGCTGAATCCCCAGTCCCTTAACCTTCTTACACAAAGTCAACAAAGTAAAAGAATCAATTTACAACCTGGAAATACTTATTTCCAGGTACTTCAATTGATTTATCATGTTACACATACATGCATATCAATACCATCTTTTTACAGACTGCAATGACTAAACTTATTTTTATTTGATAAACTACAATATACCATAGTAATTACAGGATGGTGATGATGATAAAACTAGTGAGAACAGACACAGATAAAAGATGACAAAAGAATACTTTTCCTCAGACTATTTAAAACCAAAATTGAACTTTATAAATATATTATGGCGTCTCAATCCTAATTACATGGAGATGCATGATAAGAGCACCTAAGTTCCTTTTGTTGGTTTTTGAGACAGGGTCTTACTATATAGTTCAGATTGGCCTTGAACTCACTATGCTGCCGAGGTTGGCCTTAAACTTGCAGTGAGCCTTGGGCCTCAGCCTCCCAAGTACTAGGTTAGGTATAAAATGTTTTAGTTCACATTCTTTTTACCTTTTATCAAACTCAACTACTCCTTCCCTCTTTAACCCTCAATGTTGAACAGGGTTCTAAAGAGTGACATTCTTAAGATTTATTTCCCTTTATCTCTTTGAAAGATACTAAAGAATGTCTAGTCAAAAAAGATGCCTGTGCCAGGTACTGCTTAGCCTTCCAATCTGGTGAATTATGACAAAGTAGTTTTTACAGATGATATATACATGTCTTATGTATACATGTTTCATCAAACACTGAACATCTGCAATCAGCAAGTACTGGGACCACTACACAGAAACAGTGACATGGTCACCAAAGTTTAAGTAGGATTGTTTTAAAATTTTATTAAAGACAGTATAGATTTCAAATATCAAATGATCTTAGGTCACAATTTATTGACTTCTGATAGAAGTAGCTTACCAGTGAAATCTCTGTAAGGTGACAGAGACATTCAATAATTTACATCAGTGGTGGCAAACCTATGGCACATGTATTATTGTTTTTTAAGATGAAAGATGTTAATGTAGAGTTGTTTTTTCACAATTAAAACCTCAGTATTCAGGTTTAATTGTAGTGTTGGCACTTCATTATAAATAAATAGGTTTTGGGTTACAGTTTGACAATAGGTTTCTAAAAGGTTCACCATCACTTGTCTAAAATCTAGTATTTTTGTAAGAATGCAGGACTGGCACACCACAGTTTTGTAATGATAACTGAAACTCCACAGAAACTAAAATGCCAAAAGCAAAACCCCAAAGACAACATTTACAACTAAAGGAGGTGACAAGATTATCACCACCAAAAGTCCAAACTGCACACTGATAATGGCATGCCGAAGGCCAACATACATGGTCTCACTGACAAAAGCCATCTGGACCCTAAATGATCTTTTTTTTTGAGACAGGTTCTCACTAGGTAACCTAGGTTGGCCTCAAGACAAGAGATCCTCTTGCCTCAGCCTCCTGTGGGCCAGAATTAAAGGCGCGTGCCATCACACCTGGCTGATCGTGAAATAGAAGAATCCCAAAATAATCAGCTAGTATTAACTATGGCAGAAAGCAAAGAGGAACAATTTTTTTAAAACAGTTAAATACTAAGACTATTCCAATAATAAAATAAGTGAGTATAAGCAACTTCAATAAAAAGTTATAAAGATACTAGAGCAGCTTGGTCCCTATACAATCTCACACTAACAAAGGAGCCCCATGTTGCCCCATCCAATCCCCCACCCCAATTAAACAACTAAATTGATTTTTACAGTAATTATTTCCCTGTGAAATAGTTCTCAGTCACCTAAACATATTATCTCAAAAACAATATAATCTTTCCCAAGAAAAGAAGTATGTTGTGTCCTCTAAGTTCGTTTTATGTATGTTCCAGTTCCATTTTTTAACTTACAAATTTATCTGTGGAAGAATCCAGGGCAGTGCCTGGTATGATGGTACCCTCTTGTTATTCCAGCACTGGGGAGGGCTGAGTCAGGAGCATCACATCAAGTTCCAGGACAGCCTAGGCTGGTAGTGAGTTTGAGTCAGCCTGAACTGCAGTCAAGACTCTGTCTTTAAGCACATACACCAAAAAGTACTACTACCCAGGGCATCTGACTTGTAGGTTCAGTAGAATAACAAAAACCAAACCTTAAAAAAAAAAAATCAGACTCAGCCATGTGGTTGGTGGCAAATGCCTATCATCCTAGATTACTCCTGAGGCTAAGGTAGGACCCCAAATTCAAGATACAGTACAGTCTCTCTCCACAAAGTCAACTACTGTAGCCTTAAATACATCAATCCAGATAAAGTGGCACACTTTTACAGTAGCAGCTATGTGGGAGGCTGAAGTAGGTGGACCATTTAAGCCCAAACGTTCAAGTCCAGTCCAGCCCGGCCAATATAACAAGACTAACCCAGTATCAAAAAATTCACTATCAGATTTCAAGTGTAAGAACCAGCAACAGAAGGAACAGACTAATGTTAACTTCTTGCTTTATACAGATCTGTTATAATCAGGTTCATTCCACATGAACTTTTTGTAACATATTTTAAAACCATTATACAAATCTGAGCAACTATCACATTTTAAAAATTGTAAATCATTAAATCACATATGAGTTATGACAAAAGGCGTAAGCAGTCTATGCAGAGGACCTGGGCTGATGGCATATGCCTACAAACCCACCACTGGAGAGGCTGATGCAGGATTTCCAGGTGAAAGCAAGCCTGGTATACAGGGAGTTAAAGGCTAGCCTAACTACAAAAACCCTGCGAGGGAAGGAAGTGTGGAAAGGTGGGAAGGAGGGAGGGAGGGGGGAAGAAAAGCATTGTGTGGAGGTACACATCTGTTAATCCCAAACCCAGGAGGCTGAGGCAGGATTGTTCAAGGCTAGCCTGAACTACATATATAGCAAGACCCTGTCTCAAAAGACCAAAAACAGAAGCATACTTAAAACCAGCTACAAAAACAAAAACAAAAAAAAAAATTATGTACGTAAGAATGACAAAAATGCCACAAGATTTACTTTTTTTCCCCATTTAGGGCCATCACATTTAGGTTAAGTCCCCAGAACTGAGACAGGATTTAGCTAAGTCACTAAATTGCACAGACTGGCCTCAAACATTCAATCCTCTTGCCACAGCCTCTAGCAACTATGAGTCCAGCCACACAGCACTGTATGAGGCTGTTTGTACTTCACTTCCATTAAAAAGCACTTTCAGGGGTGTGTTAGCACACATCTATAAATCTCTATACTTCATGTCTACTAGTTTCAGACTAGTTTTTCTCTCCCTTGATTTGTCTCAACTGTTAGTGATGTTAATCCATATAAATTAAGTTTTAAACAATCTCTTCTAGTACCTCGATCAACAATAACCTCCAGCTCATAGATCTATAGTTTAAATACTCTAGCTTCTTATGTTTCAGAAATAAAGTTCTGAAAGATCCTAAATTTTCTGGAAGACCTTAAAAGAATAGTCTGGCTGCACTCTTTAAAAATACTCAGAAAAGGCCAGGTTTGGTGCCACTTGCACATAAATCCAGTACTCTGGGAGGCTCAGGCAGAATTAAAAGTGGGATCACAGGCTAAGTGGGGGTGGGGTTGTGGTTAGTGCACGTGTGTATTTTACTAAGTTATACTTAAGATCTATGTGCTCAGAAGTACAGGATTTTAAATCCTAGAATCAAGTTTATTTCCTAAAATTGGTTTCCACAAATACAACCAGTAGGGAAAAGATAACTAAAATGCTTTATTTCTACAAAAGAATTCCGCTACAGTATAAATGACAGAATGAGAAAGACAATCCAAGTATTTTCCTAAAGACTTGGTAGCACTCCAATTTATGGTCCTGGTATACACACTGGTACATGTATTTTTTCATTCTAGGTTCCTATCCCATTATTAAAGGATCACCAAGGTGGTATTATCTAGTGAATAAAAGTCAAAATCATTAATTTTCATAGTCTTTTTAAAGCCAAAAATCATGTCTATGTTTGATAAACTTTATTCTGAAGCAATAAAACAAGATTTTAGTAGGGGTGTGAAGGACAAGAAATGCTGAAGACTCCGACAGACATTTGTGCTATTCATACCTTCATTTTCCCAGTAAGCCCCAGAAAATTAATAAAATTCATGTTTAGCAAGCCTATCAATTTTATTTCCAACTGTTATGCCTCATCTGAGAACAAATCTTAGATTCTCAATCTAGCTAAAAATACAGGATATGTTTGTAACAAGTCAATTTCTCTAAAGGTCACATTAAGTCTCAAGTAAACTTCTGGGAAGAAGTATAGCAGTTTGCACTTTCTGATGATTATGAAAGTTTCACATGGGCCAAAAACAATTTAAAATCAGAGTCAGTCCTTCAACTCCTGTACTTTTTTGTCTGATCACAGGAGAACACAAAAGGTTGGGGGAA